TAATATACCTATATTTAATATTACCTATTTTGTATAATAATTTTCGGTTATCATAAAGAATATTTATTTTTCCGGTGCACTTATCTTACTTTTCTCCTTCATTGGCCCATCTCCTATTTCCTTTTTTTCTGTAGTTGCCTGAATCTAAAGTTACATTCGTCTCTATTGATTTTCCATAATGAGGCTTATATCGGCCCAACTCTCCTGGTGGATCCATCGAATTTCATTGCAAAATCACTGCAGGGAAAGTGATGGCCAGGGGCGGCCTGCCGAGGGGTTTGAGTGGGTGGTCGGTCTGGTGAGGCGTAGTCTTCGGTCGGGAATAAGAATTCCTGGCTGTCATGGCTGATTGCCAAGCAAACAGACACGCACCCACATCCACATACACACCCAAGCGGAGCAATTTTATTGTCATCATTTATACATAAAGTGGGGCATCGCTACAAGGTTTCTTTATCCTAGCCCCACAACATATGTTAATATTTTGTGGTGATATAATAAAGGTACGGTTTTTAAAGAACACCTCTTTAAACAATTTGATTTGTATATGTTAGTCCAAAATGATTTCATTTTCATTTTCTATGTAAATGTAAGTTTAAAGCCTTAAATTATAAGATCTATTTTTTTTTATTTTGATAATAATGTTAGTAAAAATGGAATATTAGTAAAATCAAAATTGATTATTATTTATATTATATTTATTATTCCGTTTTACAATGTTCTGTTTTTAAAGTATTATCTCATAGGCAATTTTTACTGTACTTACACTATACAATTTTTTGCGAAATATTCTTGCACAAGGACAACGCAGGATGTGGGTATTGTTTTTGTAGCTGTCAAGTCAATCCTGACATTATGATTTCTACTCCATCAGCAGCAAGCTGATAGCCCCTAACCACTTCTTATGCCCCGGAAAAGGAACACAGCCTGCTACCTTTGATAGATTTTTCAATTTATTATCAGCTTGTCAGGCGTTTTTATCCCCCTTCCTTTTTTTTTTGTAATTAAGGATAGTAAGGGATAGCAGGTTGGTTAATATTTATTGCTATAAATAATTTTGCAAGTTTTATGCGGCTCAACTTTAATTTGCAAAGCGATAAATAACAAATGGCCCCAGTCCAAAGCCAAATTCCAACTCCCTTTCCAAATTCCGGAATCCAGATTCCGGACCCACGCACATGTGTACATACATATATAGTATGAACCCGGGGACAGCCGTAAAATGAAAGTGAAAAGAAAAGTGGAAAAGTAGCCGGAGCAACAACTGCAAAAAGTGCTGAACGCAGACAAAGTACAAATTGCCCACAAAAATATAAAAACGATGCCAGAAGGAGCAGATGGAGGGTCAGAGAAAGGAAGAAAGTTCAATTTACTACTTTTCACTTTAGCATACATTCCACCCACCCAAAAACACATTCAAACACACACTCGCTCACACACACACACACACTGGCAGGAATTCAAAGGACACCCTCATTTCGGGTGGCCAGCTGGAAATTGGAGAAGCCAGAAGCCTCAGCATCCAACACACATGCTTATAGAATTTTCCCAAACCTCTCCCCCATTATCCTGGCAACCTTATCCTCGCACTGGCACTCCCCCAAAAAAAACTTTGCCTTTTGCGTTAAATTTTTCTTTTTATTTTGGAATTTCGTTCGATAGTCTCGCACATACATACATATATGTAGGTACATATGGTGGTATATATGCTATATGCACACACACACACATATGAGCATCTAATTTTCTTTTAAGGTCAAGCTGAAATGAAATACAAAAAAGTTTTTTTTTCGCTTAATGAAAATTACAATTTTCGTCTTATTTTTCTCTCAACTTTCATGCCAAAAGGAAGAAATTGTTTGCCCTCTTGTTGCTTCCGTTCGTTCGCTTTTCCTTTCCTGATGTCCTTTCCCCTCGCAACCATACAAGTACGCTTACGCATGTGTGTGTGTGCGCCTGTGTCCTTTCTCCTGGCAAGTTTTATTCCTCATCAACGCCCGTTCAACCTATTCCCCCTCCACAAAAACCTCAAACTGAAACTCAAACTCAAACCGAGACTCGGAGTCCTGGCAGTCCTTTCTGTAACTCGTATGCTGTGTGTATCCAATTGAAAAGGCAAGGAGCAGGACGAACGAAGAAATCTCAAAACGCAACTGAAACTGAAATAAATCCGTATTTTGGGTGTCGATGCCTTTAGTTTTCTACTTTCTTTGGCTTCACATGGCACCATATAAGAAATGGTTAAAGGGATGCAGCTCTTTTCAAAGTTAGATAAGAGATCTGGATCTATCGTATGGGGTTGCCGGCTTTAATGTGTTAAGGGGCCGAAAATTACCCAATGAATTCATTAAGATCTAATTTATGATCATTATATGGAGTGATTAGTTTCCTGATCAGTGTCACTTTGATCAATAAATTTGGTTTATGATAATGATCCTGAAACAATTTTAACTGATATGGAAACCTCTATATTATTTCTTTTAAATCCTATCTTTTATTTAATCGTTGCAGGAGATATTACATTAAAGAAAAACTTAGTTATACATATGTGAAAGCTTTCCAAGAAAGTCAAATACCTTTTCATACATTTTTTTTACCAACACTAGTATTAAGAACCTTAGATATATGAATTAAACATAATTTTTGACTACCCATATAATTACACATACTTCGAAAGTTTATAATTTTTCCAACTTTATCTTTTAATCTTTTTATTGCCAAGCGTAATGTATACAAAAATGTAGATATATGTTAATACTAGTCCCCGTTCCACTTTGTTATAGTTTGAAAAATGACATCAAGAAAATTCCTAGTTAAAAATGCTAAACGCTGGTGGAAATGTATGCAAAAGAAAAGCCAAAACCAATTTTAGTCGCGTTCTGAAAAGTCATTAGGGCAACCTACTGCCACCCCTACCCGCCCGTTCTCCTATCCACTCGTCTCTGGTGCGTGTCCTTTTGCGTCATTTATTTAAATTGCCGCATTTCCAGGACTAATGTGCATATGCCAGGGGGAAAACAAATGAAAAACCCACCCCAGATCCGGATCCCCTCGCTCCCTCCGCCCCTCGTCTTGATATACATTTGGAAAATGAGAAAACGAAATAACAAATACTTACCCCCACTCCAAGGAGCCGAAAAAATCCATAAGTTAAATTATTAAAGTTTGTAGCCGTTGTTGTTGACCCAAGGTTTGGGGGTTTTTTGACACATTCCAAGGACTCGGCAGGCGGTCAATGAAACGAAGTCCCATAAAAGCACGTGGAAAAAAGCTAGTCTCAAATATAAAGTACCCTTCAGGTCCATGAATTTATGATATATGAACTTTACTATTAAAATAAATTCAACAAATACAACGAAAATGTATAATATATAATATTAACTTTAGTTAAGTTTATCATTAGTTTATGTTCTGAAGACTTCCCCAAAATCAACATACTTTTAGACTTCCTGAGCAAGGGGTATTGAAAATGGAAAGCGTTTCCAAAGCATATGGTGACAACAAAAATTGTTGTTTGCGCCTGGCGCCGCCTAAACAATTTAATTGAGAGTTGAAATTACTCGTAAATATATGTACATATATGAGAGTAAGTGGGTGAAGTTGTCCTGAGGTTGGCCTTTAATGGTGTTCAATGGGTATTTCAGGCCTGTAATTTGTTGGCCTGCGTGTGAAGCTCTGCCAAATCGATTAAAAACTAATTTCCACAAGCAATCCATTCAAAAACAACAAAAACTGTAATTTAATTCTGGAATTTTTTGAGCTATTGCTGTCGTTGATGGATGGGCTTTGATGTATAATGCATTAGAAAGAAGGGGTAGTTGTCACATGTGCATCATCATTAATAATTGTTTTTAGTTTCTAAATTGGGATACCTACAGTTTTTAGAAGTAGAATGGTGTTTAGTAATGGCTACAAAAACTTTGAAATGTTAAATGACTTAATACAGAATGCTAACTTCTTACACATTTGTGAATATGTGTATCCAACTTTTAAGTAACAATGCCTAAAATCTACGGCAACTGTACCCAGAAAACTTTTGCAACTTATGTAGCACTACACATTTATAATACTCACCGAAAACTATGGGGAAAACATTCTGCCCTCTTCCGTTGCCAAATTATGAACAAGTTTGTTTCCTCGCCTTTTTGGCAACAGGAAGTTTTGGACAAGGGACGACAGGACAAGAAAGCCATGGAGCTGTCAGGAACACGCGTCAGACGCACATCTCCAGCCCCCGATCGGAATTGATTTCGTCGCATTCTTTTCAAAAATTATTGATAAGACATTTCCACAGGCATTGTGTTTGCCCATTACATCCACAGTCACAGATACAGTCGCTTCTGCCAGTGAGTGTCCCATGTAATACAAATATTGACATACTTTGATTTCGCAATGCTCGGACTGCTTAGGGTAGCAACAAGCGAAAGTAAGGACCTTCTCCTTGGTTCTCTGGGGTTGGAGGTCCTTCGTCTTGCACAGAAAAAAATAATATGAATTTTTTCTAAAAAACTTTCGAAATATTAATGTAGATTTATTGCACCAAAGAAAGCAAGATATATTTGATAGATATTTTAAGATGTTTTAAAGGTAGAATGGAAATATTATTTTATGTGAAACTTTTTGGTGCCATTATATTTTTCTGAGTGTTTTCCGTTCATCCCTGTCTTCTTGGAAAATATTGAAAAGCTAAAAGCGAATGTCAAAACTCGGAAAAGTTGAAATTTTCTCCATTTTTACTGAACATGATGAGAGGTTGGGGTTCCAGTCTCAAGGGTCGCAAAATCAGCTTAGGCAGGTCCCTCGCCGACTTTCAATGGGAATCACAGGGCGACCTAAGCACTTTTTAAGCTCGAGATGATGACACTTGTAGCTGAGTGCGTTTTTGCTTCAGGTAAGTCGAACTAAAGAAAGTCGCTGTGAATTTGAAGAGAATCCCCTCCCTGACCCAAATCACACAATTTTAAATTTATTTATATGTATTTGTATATATATTTAATATAATCAATTTAAAACACATACAATTTTTGATAAATGCTCTTTTACAATGAAATGAAAAATGTTTGGTTTTCCACCTTTTTTGATTCTTTGCTCTTTCACATTTTACATATAATATAAATTATTTTGTTCAAGTTTTCCTTGTTGTCTTTTGATTTTTTCTCACACATAGTTTTACATAATAACAAAGTAAAATTGTTTAAGTATATGTAATATATATATATATCGATATATAAGTGTATATATCTCATACATTTGCCAATTGCTAAATAAATGTTATTTTGTTGGGTTTTTGTTTTATATTAAATTTAAATTTAATTTTGTTTTGATTTTTTGCTCGTGGCTTTTGATTTTGCGCTCTCACGTCTTTGTGTTGCATTTCTCTTCACTTTCTTCTCAACTTCTCTTGTTCCAACTTCAACATCTATTAAATTAATAATTTTTCAATGCGTTTTGTTGCTTTGACTTAAGCCTACAACTAAAATATTTTTTTAAGAGTGTAATTTTTGGTTTTGGTTGTTCTTTTTTTTGCTTAGCGCTAGTAAAATTGTATTTTTGATTTTCTTGTGGTTTTGCAGCTTGACCCTACCAAAGGTCATACAAAATTTTGATTTATGCTCAAGGTACGTTGCAAGTTGTTTTTGGGTTTCGTGTTGTAAAATTTATTTAGCTTTAGATTTTTAAAAACATATTTTTATTATTATTTTTGATTTGTGCGCTCTTCTGTGTGGGGGTTGCAGTCATGCCAAATTGTAAGGAAATAAAAATAATGGTATGCCATTGCCAAAAACCCGAGCCCAAAAAAGGTAAGGAATTTGCATGGGGTGGCTGCCAAATCACCCTTGGCAAATGCAATTTTTTCATTTCATTTTTGTTTTATTTTTATATAAATTGCAATTTTTCCAGTTCACTTTTAAACATGCAAATAGCGGCGGACACCCTTAAATCGATGCAAATGCACCATGGGGTAGCACTGCATTTGGTCAATTGTTTGCGCCCTTAAAAATAGCTGGCAGTGGATTTTCCTAAATTGCCATAAAAATTCAATAGAAAACATTTTTGGGGGAAATCTCGGAAAAATATTTATGAAATTTGCCTACCATCCCCTGGTCAACCTGGGGGTTGTTGCCCGAGTCAATCTTTAATTGCAGCGCCGGCAGCCGGAAAAGTATCGAATATCTGGCCGTAATCAATGAGATGAAATTTGCATGGACACGTGACAAATAATTAACTGCCAAAACGGGAGCATTTCCAATCCCAGAGGGTGGCTGCATTTAATCAATAGCCATGGCAATATCGATTTTGATTCCGGCTTAGGAACTTTTTTTTTTTTAGAACTTCAAACAACTGCAGCTGCTTACGCGACCCTCCAACTTGACCCTCACATGACCATGCTGGGTTTTTGTTATCGTAGTTTCCTTTTTTTTCCATACAGATGCATTTTTTAATGCAAACATACTAATCAGGGGGTTGGTCAAGGCCTGACCCAAAACCGGAAACAGTTTCACTTATTATGTTTTCCCATTTTTTTTATGAGGGTGCTGTTTTTGGTTATATTTAAAAGAGATGGAGAAGAAAGGCAGCTGCTTGTGAGTTTTTTAAAATGATTAAACAAGTCGAAGATAGGCTCTCAAACTATTGTTGACAAATTGAATCAAATGGCAATTTAATAATTGAAGTGGCCAAGGCGTTGGACCAGCATATAACACCCCGAAAAATGAAGGTCCCCTATGGGAAAGTTTTCCAAAAAAAAAACGAAACAAAGAAAAAGGTCTTCCCCTATCGGCGACAACTTCACAGTCGATAAGTCAAAGATTGTGATTTTTTAAGACCTTGGACTCGGGTCTGGCACTCTTCAATAAGGCTTAAAATTACATGCGGTGGCTAATAAATAGAGATATCAGAAATCAACATTCAAATAATAAAGGAAACTCAAGTTTAACAAATACAAATTGCATGACATTTATTCAATACATATATACACATTTAAAGTAAGATATAAGAACTAAGAAGTAAATGGAATATAAAATAAAGTTACAATCTATATTTGTAGTTCTATGTAAAATTTCATTTCGTTTTTGAAGTTCAAATTTTTGGTGTTGTGGGCTCGGCGAAGTATTTGCTAAAAGGCACGCAGCATTTTAAAAAACACACGTTTTTAAAAAAAGGAAATTTCAAATATAGCAAATAGTTCCTCGCCGATCCGTATTCTTCTTGGAGCCATCCACTCATATTGGGCAACTCATCTCGCCGAAGAACAAATTCCTTAAACACTACAAAATAATCGGCGAAAATCGTCACCCAAAACTGAAGAGTTGATGGATCTGTTTTGGCTTCTGGTTTTATATTTTAAATTATTTTAATCCTTATACGTTTGACTAGAATGATTTGGTTCTTGTTTATGCGACTAGCTGCGGTCTTTGGAATGTTTTAAATTAGATTGGTTAATTAAATCATAGGATATATTTTAAGATTTCAATAAAGTATAGGTTAAATGTAATTCTGTTTTGAGGTAAAGTTACTACAAAAAATTTGATTTAGCTTTTAGGTTTTGCCTCTACTGCAGTTTTAATGGTTTCGTAGATTTTCTTTATAAATTCTTTTTATTTAAATTATTGTTTTCAAGTCCGTCTGAGGTAGCATTTTTGTTATCTTTTTTAACGTTTCATAATATATTTAATTTATTATTATGGTAATATTTTACTTGCGTATGCTTTTTTTGGTTTCTTTAAATATGTTTGTATAAAAAAGTACTAATGGTCATTGTACTTTTGCCCTGAGTTGTTTAAATGTTTTTAATGTTTACCTTCTGGCGCTAGTTTTCTTTCTTTCTATCTCGTACTCCCCCTCGCTATCGAAAATCTGAACCTTTTATGGTGTTATCTTTAACAACTTTATATGTACACGTTGTGCGCTGGAATTATGTTTTAGTGAAGACATTTCCTTGGGTATAACTCGGTTCAGATACGGCTAATAAAAGAGTTTTTATATAGAGGATGATAATTCAGGGCCATCTTGCAGAACATCCTAAAAGTGTAGTCTTCGCTAGAAAGATTTTGATTTTGATTTTGAGCAATTTGTTTGTGCTGAAGCTTTACCATAGCATTGTTATTATGCCATATATATGCTATATATGTGCCGATCAGCCCTAATCTAAGCACGACAAACCCACGCCATATCTAGATGAGAAATGTATAATTGTAATTTTGATTTATGCTGCTGCTACTACGATATATAATCCTTCTAAGTGGTATATATAGTAATTTTTTCTCCATTTTCTGCCTCTTCCCCTTCGCCTAATCTATGTACGTATTTAGATTCCATCCACCATCTCATCTTTCTGCTTACTATTACGCATAGGAACTTTGATAGTTAATCACTAGAGATATATGTTATAGGTTGCGGTATGTTATGCTTTATGCTTTGTCATGCGTCTATCAAAATATATATATTTATATATATGTTATTTTGATGGTTAGCACAGTGTTGCCAGCTGAAACGGACTTGTTCTTGTTGAGTTATAGGCTATAGATTTTTTGATCAGTGCCATGTTGGACATGGTTAACTTTTGGGCCCGATATAGGGCTTAGATGTTGATCGATTGGTTGTATTATGGTTTTTTTTGTATATGTTTAAGTTTAATTATGAGCTCAACTAATATGCGCACTCAGTCTTTTGTAGTTCCACTATTTTGTCTTGTTCATGTTCCTAACTTCGTTTGCTTAACTATTTAGTTTTTGGGGGGTTTCTTTTTTTAAGTTTCTGGGATGGGGGCAATCAGGGGCTTACTTTTATATTGTTTTTTAAGAATTTACCATTTAGAGTGCCCCTATCCCTAAACTTTTTGGGGCTTCTTTCGTTTCTATGGCTTGAACTTACGCTGGCAACACTATACCTGTTGCATGTGGCACCTTTAGGCCGGTGTGAGCCGGAAGCTGAGCGTGGCCGACTCCGAGGCCCGAACCCTCACCGGTAGGTAGACCAGGGCTGGGGCGAACTGCATCTCCGAGTCGGCATCGGCGGGCTGCAGGTGGAAGGCCTGCATCTGATATGCTTCCTCTGCCCGATCCGGTTGCGCATAGCTGGCCGGCTTGCCACTTCCGTTGGCCAACTCCCCGCATCCCTCGAAGGGTGAGGTGGCCGCCGATCGATGGTTGCCACTTCCGTTTCCGCTTCCCAAACCATTGGGCGTCGTCGGGGGCTTTGAGGTGGATCGACGGCGTTGAATCTTGGGTGAAGTTGAACTGGTTGCCTTGGGGGAGTAGGCGGCTGGTGATGCTCCTCCTGCAGTGGGCGATTGGGAGGCGACCTTGGGTGCGGAGGTGCTGAGGTTGGTGGGCTCTAGAGGAGGCTCCGGTTCTTCGGATTTGATGGGCGGAGGTGGCACCACCGCCTTGTTGGATTTGCTGCGAGATTTACCCGAACTCCTGGGTGGTTGTTGCGGTGGCGGCGTCTCCATGGGCAACTCCATGCCCTCGCCCCCGTTGTTGAGCAGCGCATGGGAGCGCTCGTGAATGAACAGGAAGGCGTAGTAGGGCGTGGTGAAGGGACACAGTGAGCACTGGTACTCCTTAAACCTGCCAGATGGTTCGCCAAACATACCGGGCAGCGGCAATGGTGGCATCTTGGGCATCTGCTGTTGCTGCTGCTGCATCTGCCCAAAAAGATGCTGGGCATTGAGGTTCTGCAGGGCTTGGGCGAGATTAGGAGCGGTATTTCCAGCTCCGGATCCCGCTGCAATTGGGTTACCACTACCACTGCCGTTGGGAATCTTTAGCGTGGGACTGTTGGGCTTGCTGCGAGTCGACGATGAGGTGGTGTCTATTTCCCGGAGACGTTCCACTCCAGCGGTTCCATGCTCGTTCATCAGATGAGAGCGCAGCCACTTGAAGCTCCGGAATTGGCGAGAGCAAAGTGGACACACCTCGTGATTGGAGTTGGAGGAACTGCTTCCGGCACTGCCCTCCACTGTGGGTGGTGAGACATTGATATCCTGATCCTGTTGAGCTGGCTGCGATGCTGCAGATGCTGCTGCTGCTGCGGCAGCCGCATCCATCTTGACCCCATTCTGACCCCTGGGCTGCGGCAATGGAGATCCCTCCTCGATGATACCATGGGTGTTGTGTTTGTGCACCCGCAGAAAGTACTTGCTGCACAGTTCCTTGTTGCAAATGTTGCACACCACTCCCCCGATTTGGGCGCCATTCTCGATCTCGATGCCGTGCATGCGCTGCATGTGCGTCTTCATGAAGTACTTGTTGCACAGCTCCTTGTTGCAGATCTCGCAGTAGCTACTGGTGGGTGTAAGGGTATAAGCTGGACGATTCCCTGGAGGAGCTGCCGGAGTTCCTGGACCGCCCGCTGATGGCGCCACTGGACGTTCGGGCGTAAAGAAACCCTCGCGCAGGGGACTTCCACTCAGTCCTCCATTTCTGCCCATGTGCACCTCGGCGATATGTTGCTTGAATTCCTGGGTGGTGGCGAAATCCCGATCGCATTGCTGGCAACGGAGATCGCCAGCTGGTGGGGATCTGGCTCCTGGAAGAGCCCCTGGTGGAGTCTGGTGGTTATACAATCCAGCCATGGGATGTTGGGATGCCTGCTGTTGATCGGGCAGGGGAATTGGAATGGGCATGGGCAGTTGCATCTGGCCAGCGTGCTCGGTCATGAGATGAGCCCGCAAGGCATACTGGTTCTCCTGCTCCTGGCCACAAAGGTGACAGGGCAAAGGTCGCTTCCCATTGATGTCATTGAGTTGCTGCAACATGGACTGCAGTTTCTGTAGATTTTGCAGGCCCACCACCGAGCCATTCAGCTTGTCCTCATCATAGCCCTCCGGTGGCGTCTGTTGCTGCTCCAATTTGATCCTCTTGCTGGGCTGCTCTGACTCCACTTCCGTTTCCGGTTCGCGCTCCTGCTCCTGCTGCTGATCCATCGTGGCAGCTGCCGCCTTGGCCAGCATCAAATTCAGAGGCATAAATGGCCAGGCACTCGGCATTTGGGACGCCTCATCCTTGCCTCCCTGCTGTGGTGCCACATCTTCTGGTGGTACAAACAAACCATGCCGCTTCCACTTGTGGGTGCGCAGGAAGTAGCGATTGGCATACTCCCGGTAGCAAAGCTCGCAGAAGAACTCAGGGAACTGGACGCCCAGGCGACGCAACTTATCCGAATTGAAGTTGGAATCCTTGGCCTGCTGGTGAAGATGAGAGGGCAACTTTCTGGGCGGCGGCACAAAGCTCAGCTCCTCCTGTTCCAGGGTGAAGTCTTCGCGGAAACCCTCGGGCAATTGATACGGCTTGACCTCCTGACCTTCCTGAGACATTTCCTGCTTGATAGCCGGCTGCAGTGGCTCATTGGGACTTCCCCGAAGGTTTTGCGATGGCATGGGTGTTTGGGAGTTGGGTGAATCCTGGGCACCCGGCTGCATGTCATGCTGCTTGGCCCGATGACGACGCATGGCAAAGATGTTGGTGAACCGCTTGGAACAGATGTCGCAATGCACAGAGGCCACGGGATTGGAGGATCCTCCAACTGGCTGAGCATCCTGCTTGGCCAAAACTTGAGCCTCCCTTTGCAGCTGGAACATTTGACTCATGGAACTCACGCCGGGATTGGGGTGACCACTATTGTTGTTGTTACTACTGGTGATGTTGTTATTGTTGTTATTATTATTGTGGTGGCTGGAAGTGTTTGAGCTGCTTGATTCGCCGACAGGATCAAAGATGCCATGCTTGTTGGCCTTGTGTGTTTTGAGGAAGTACTTGTTGCAGAACTCCTTGTTGCACAGCTCGCAATAGGCCTCGGGATTGAAAATCCGCAGGGGAGGGCGATTCAGGCCATCTACACCAGGAAAGCCAGACATTCCCAGGAGTGGTAGATATCCAGCTGGACCCAAGGCTGCCTCTGGTGGAAAGGGAAAGGCAGGTGGCATCTGCGGACCATGCGGATGATGCTGCGCCTGCTGCATGGCCTGGAACCAGTGCTCCTGCTCTCGCTCCAAATCCTTGCCATGACCATTGGTCATGTCCTGCTGCATATTATGCTCCTGCTGCGGACTGGGTATGTCGGCACGCTCCAATTTCACCTTGATGGAGGCCAGGAAATCGGCGGGATCCTGTTCACCCGATCTATCATCGCCGTGATCCTGCAGCATGTGCAGGCTCAACTTGAACTCGGTCTCGAAACTCTCGCCGCACTGCTTGCAGTAGGTGTGATAGGGATTCTCGCGCTGCTTGCTGGATTCTGATATGTCTGCCATGGCTTCCGCTTCCGTTTCCGCTTCCACTTCCGTTTCCGGTTGTTGGTGCTGCTCCTCCTCCTGCTTCTGCTGCTGCAGCATCTCGAAGGTCTCCTTCAGCTGCTCAATGGACTTGGGCAGGAACATCTTGGACAACTTTTCCTCGTAGTCCACCGTGGAGGAGTCGGGTCTTTTTGGACCCACTTCACCAGAGGGTTCCCCACTCAAATTGAGGGCCTCCAGGCGGCTGGGATTGTGCTGCTTGCGTCGCTTTTTGGCCGCATCGCTGAGGGCCTCCAGGAGCTGCAGCTGCATGGCTGCCGCCATGGTGGCCATGTTGGCATCGCCCACCTCCTCCTCCTCCTCCTGCTGCTGCTCCGCGTCCTTGTGCCGCTCCTCCGCTGCCTCCCCCATTTGGTCCGCCTCATTTGTGCCGCTTCCCGCTGGCTTGGGCTCCAGTTCCAGCTCCATTGCCTTGACCAAGTGGGCGGTGGGTGAAGTGCCTCCCACTCCACCACCTCCACCTCCTCCTCCTCCTGTTGCTCCTCTTGATGTGGCTGATGTGGCTGTGGGCGTTGCTCCTGTGGCTTCATGTGGATTGTTGCTATTGCTGCCGCTGGTGTGGTTGTTCCTGTTCGTGTTGAGTGTCGATGAGTTGGAGACGTCGGAGAGAGCAGTGTCCTCGCTGCTCAGATCTGGCGGTGGGGTGGCATATATGGATGCAGCCATTTTGGATGATATTACTGCGGGGGAATGGGGAGAAAGATGGAGAGGGAGAAACATTGTAGTGGAGAACTTTTTAATTGAAGTCGAAGCCATGCTAGCGGGGGGTTTTACTCTAACTAAAAGGGATGGGATATTAGGGTTATTTATATGCATGTATGAACATAAGGTTTGGTCACTTTATGTGGTGGAAACTACCATAAAATTAAATGACATAATAATAATAATAGTTTGTAATATATAATACTTTTACCGCAATGGCAAATGTCTTACAAAAATATTAATCAATATAATAACAATAAAATCCCTTCATATACACAACCAATTTATTCATAACTCTCCCTCCCTCCATATTTTTCTTCAGTGTACATAATGAATGGGCTGAGGCTTAGATCGCATTATTTTTTCGCAAAAAGAAAAACGTAGAGGGAAACGCAGAATATTTGACCAAGGATTCCATTCAATTTTAGTTTGGCTTCAACCGAATGCCACTCAAATATTTCTCCTGCACACACACACACAATCGCCTAAGCCCGCACACACACGCAGAATATTTGTGTCTCATTTCCGTATGCGCTTAATTTCATTTTTCTGCTTCTGTCCGCCTTCTTCTGCTTTTTCTTCTCCATCATCATTATTCCCACCCATTTCCCACCCACAATACCATCTACCATTTCCCACACCATTTCGCTGTGGCTACACTTTTTCATTTTTGTGCAAATTCTATGAAAAATTTTTCCATTATATACACATACATATGTATAGCATACATATATGGGGAAACGAAACTTTCTTCTTTTTTTTTTTTCTTCTTGCTGTTTGTTTACTAAGCGCCCCAGCTGCCACCCACTAACACACATACACACAACCCCATTGTGGCGCACACGAAAATTTATACAAAGTCATCCGATTTAAGGAATACAAATTTTGCTTATTTTCTTGTGTGTGGGTGTGGGTGTGTATGTGTTTGTGTGGCGCACACAGAAAACTTTTTGCCCCACACTATCACACACACACACACACAGCCATTTTCCACCCACTTTTCCGACCCCCCCACCAACCAACACCATCACTTGAGTCAAGCATAAAACTTATAAAAATTTTCTTCAACATGACTTGGTAAAATAAATTTGATTCTCAAGAAAAGCAAAAAGGAATATGGTAGGGATGAGGGGGAAACGAGGGGGAAAATGCCTGGCAACAGGGAGGCAAATATAGGCGGAGTTACACTGGAAGAAAAGTACATAGTTTGTAATTGATATCACAATGTTCATTATACAATCAAAACGAAGTAAAGTAGGACAATTTTTTTCGAATTTTTAATGGACTTTACGGGGCTATAAGGACCAGTAAAAAACGACCATTGGATTAAAAAAAACTACTAAAAAAAAACATCCGGAGTACTTGAACTCGGTACCTTAAGCATCAAGTAATGAAATGTAAAGTGAGCTAAATTTCTTGCTGTGCAGGAAAATTTTTTCGAAATAAACCGAAAATTTCTTTTTCCTATTTGAGCCCAGGCTAAAAGGAGAAAAGCCAAGGAGGAGCAGTCAAAGGGTAGGGGAGGGAAAATAAGTTTCCAGGGGGTGGGGTTGGGGGTGGCAGGCGGAGAGTAGGCAAAAGGAATGAAAGAAAGAAAAATATTCTCAACTATGCTGCAGACATAAATTAAGTTTCCATGGTTGGAAATTGGTTCTCCAGCTACATGTTGTCGTTGTAGTTGTTGTTGACTTTGCTTTTATACAATTTCTTGAGGCCAAAACCCCACTCCCGCCGCCACTGTCCTCCCCCTTTTAACCAACCCCCCCATCCCCCATGACCCCGAACCTGGCACTTTGAGGAGTTAAGCAAAAATGCCTGCCAGGATGTGCGCATTTCTCTTCAGTATCTTTGTGCGTTTGTGTATGCGATAGCGAGTGTTGCTTGTATTTCGGTTGGGATTTTTATAAAGCCTAAGGTAGTTTGATGTTATTTTATTTGATTTTTTTCGCCTGCCTGCCCGCCTTACATCCATCTCTTCGTGCCAGTAGGAGGATGCCCGAGAAAAATGTTCGAAATGAAAATGCCAACAGAGTGTAAACAAAACCATGTACTCCTTGACTAGGTATACATATAGTAAATGTGCATGTGTACACTGTATATTTTGAGACTCCACAAGAGAAGCGGCTAATTTGGCAAACCAACATATCAACCCAGTTTTGGATGGGGGCCAGAGGACTCAGAAAATAATCTTGACACTGGCCTAGGGGAAGCCAATAACGTCAGATTGGTTTTGGTTCTGACTTGGATAGTTGATGAATATTAATCTGAGCTTGCAAACTTAAGCCCATAAAATCGGTGCTTTAACTAATGTGACATCCAAAACTTTTAAAAGATTAAATAAAAAATAGTTTCAATAATATTACAGAAATTATCCGCGAATAAAAAATAAATAGGTGAGTCTTGAATTTAATTGAAACTTATTAAGTTTGTTAAAATATGAAGATGTTAACAATTTTTTAAATTTAGCATTTAAAATTTTTTTTTAAACTATAAAAAAATATAATTAGCCTTTCGTTTTTGTATATTAAGTAGGACAAAAATATTTTTTAATAATGAAGACGTGAATTAAACCACAAATGCAAAATAAGTATGTTTAATTAATTAGTTTTAAAACATTAAAATTGTGATTTTATTAAGATTTAGTTATCCAATAAAATCACATTGATCACAGGTGAAACACAACTAATAAACTTATTTGGTTCCATGTTCTAATGATGTATTTTTCCTTAGAAGGTCACTAAGCTCCAATCTTTTATATAAACTATTAAATTAACTATACAACTTATTTAGATCAACCTACTCATTAAGTATGTTTTTGATTTTCGCGATCCGAAATAATTTTCCGTTTAATTTTTGTTCCTATTGTCACTCGCTTATATTCGGTCACTGCACATTCTCAAAAACCATTTCCTCGATCAGTGATCACTTGATGCTCTCGTTTTGTTCGCGTTACGCAAGTCACTTTTGCGCATGCGCAGTTGCTTTTTTATTTTTTGGCGTGTGTCGGGATCGTGTCCTGCCAAGTGGCTAGCTCGTTGTCAACTGCCGCATGACGCAGCGGAATAACAAAAAATATCGGCTATCAATTGCCAGTTGCCGGTTGAAAATCAAAACAGCAAATAGCAATGATACTAAAATCCCAACGACACACACAGACCTAACCCTCTGTATCGTTTATACACACACACAATCTGGGCCCCTACACATATCACGGAAAAAACCTCAATAAAACACCCCAAAATATCAAAAATCATAGAATTTCCCTTAAAAAAAAATCCATACAGCGACAATAGAGCAGCGCTGCCCGGAAAACCATTATTGCTCCGCCCCTTTTAGTTTTCCTTTTCCTCCTCTCTTTTATTTTTTTGAAATTTTCAGTAACCACCACAACTACAACTACAAAAGAAAGGGACGGCGACACACGAATGAGCAACAACCGCGCAACTTGGAGGGTTTTCCCCCGATATTATTGTTGTCGTGCCAATTTATCATTGTTCGATATGATTTTCAATTTGTTTTTCCTTCTGCAGAAGTTCGTGTACCGCCATCGTTGTTATTGGTGTTCCGCCAGCGGCAGTTATATTTTTGTTATTTTAATTTATGCACTCCCAATGAAAAGAGTCAGAAATTCTTTTGGTTTCTTTCAAGTTGCTGTCACAGAAGCCGAAACTTCTTGACTTGAGTAGCTAGGAATCACATAAATATTCCCTGAAAGGGTTTGGGGGTTGTTCCATGTTTCGAAATGTCGAAATTGGCTAATTGAAGGGTTTCTGCGGACTCTGAATCGTCACTCAGGTAAGAATTACCTTTTCGTATGCCTTTTAGTGATATTAGAGAGAGGATTTGGTAATTGTCTTTTAATAACATGATTACCATGGTTTATTGTAAGAAATAATTTTAAGAACCTTTAAAGCTGGAACATATTTGAGGGGATGTGTAGATCACTTTGTGATTTCCTTTCATAAAAGGCCTTAAATGTAGGACAAAAAAAATAAATTGGATCCTAAAGAAAAGAATAGTTAAAGAATGTAAGGAAAATTGAAAAAGGGTGGATTACATGTACCTATTATTAGAAATGATATGGGTGTTAAGTTAAAAAGCTTTTGATCGATTGTCTGTATCTCTTTTTTCTTTCATGAATGTTTATAATTGAGTTGATAAAAAAAGTCAGTTAACTCTTGTCAATTTCAATTAATTATAATATCTCAAATGATAAATTGAATTAAAGACGGGTGGCATTTGTTTGAGGCTATAAAAGTGTTTTACTAAATGAACTATATTGTGTTACGGTGGAATATAGCTGCTAAATAATTGTATTCCATATTTATAAATACTTATATAATATACAAAAATTAAAGTCTGATATACTTTGTAAGTGCGGCAATTTATTTATGAGGTATAAGTTATGGAAATGCATAAATAAAGTGGTTCGAGTTGTCTTTATGATCAACTTAGGGTCAGGCGAGTCCCTGAAGGGATTAGGCTTTGGTTCAGTCGACATCTCCATAAATCTGAGTCATAAACTCTCCCCAGAGATGCGGCCAGTGATTGTTTGCTTTCCCCGATTGACGGATTGACTTACAGATACTTGTATCTCGAAGGACATGCCAGCTGCAAGTGCATGTGTGTGCGTGTGGGTCCAACCTTGGCCACCCCTTTACCATTTTCCCCACAGTCTTTTGCCACTCGGCACACAACACACATCAGAGGCCGAAAAAGTGAAAGTGACTTCCCCCGCATTTCCCCCAGTTTCTGCGTCTGCGCCATGAAGGTGACTCTCTTTTTTGGAGCAGCCGGCCATAGTCATATGTGTACGAGTGTGGCTAGAAAATCGCCGGTTGAACGAACCAGGCTAGCAAAATAGTCCAACAGCAACAGTCGGTACGGAGCAGTTGGCAACTCATTGGTCGGCAGGCAGCTGAATCGAATCGGATCGCATCGGACCCCAAAAAGAACACCCCAACCACCCACTCGGTCTGGTCTACTTTGACCTGGTCGCCATCGTGGTCGTGGTCAAGGTTTTCCCATCGACTTTCACTCTCACACATGTCCACTGTGACGCAGCCGTTGCCGGCACTTTCACTTTCGCTTTCACTCGACTGGAATCACTCGCACGCACGCACCGCCCGAAAAGAGGGGCTTCCCCTTTTCGTAGGCGCATGTCCTTGCAGTGGGCGAAATGTAAACAAATCGCCAATGTGGCTTTCAAATCATTATAATTTAGACTGGATATTCATTTATGATAAGCTTCTTTCTTTCTTTTCGCTAATAATATAAAACATTTCAAATTTAAGAAATAACGTACCCTAATCTTAGCCTATCATATCATATCATATATTTTAAGTGTTAACTAAATAAACCCTATCAATTTCCTGTGTTGCTCCTAAATATCCCAAAGGGAGTTTCCAGTACAAGAGATTAGTATTAGTATTCTATTTTTTTGGTATTAAAGATTTAAATTAAATTTTAAACGGAACATTTAAAAATATTATATTATATTATGTATATATTATATTATTATAAATAAATATGACATAGATAAATTTTTTCTGACATTGCAAAGAAGTCTGGAAACTATATTTATATTATTTTGTTATATTACATTATATTATCATTTTACAATTACTATTTTCAATGTTTGTGGTTTCGTGGATGCCCGACATATAGGGTGCTCAGAATTGTAACACCCGCCCAACTCGTTGGGTACCATAAAAGTAATTATTAAATTTAAATTCGAGCAAGGACCAACCTACTTCGCACCCTTAGCCTAGCGTGTCCTGACGAAATGTCGCTTATGATTGATACGCCCCTTTCAGCCCATATGCCACACTTACACCTACAAAAGCAGCCCCTGAAAGGACACCCCCGCCCGAAATGTGGTATGTGGATTGCAATTAATATTTCTGATGAAAATCAAATTGAAATTATGCGTGGACTCAAAAATGTAAATGGAAATGGGAAATGGGAATAATAATGTGTTAGGAGATCGGGAAATCAACCCCTAGACTTGGGAGTAATGATCTCTGTTAGTTTTTCTTCTTATGCGGGGGAGGAATCAGTCAATGGGACGGGTTTTGGTGTCGCCTTTCCTCGTTAAGTAAGAGCGACAAATTACTTTATTAGAAATGCAATGTTCGCTCTACGTGAGTTGCTAAGTTTTTTGATGTCTCAAGATTGGGGTGGTACTTTGAAGTCTGTTTGATTAGGAAATCACTGAATAAAAAAGTTTTTCGTGTTCTCCAATAAGTAACGCAAGTTGGTAAGGAAAGGAAATCGATAACTAGCATATCTATTAACAAATATACCCATATACAAATGGAAATAATACCCAATGACTTACATTATTGTAGTATAAACACCTAGAGTAACTAGCTTTTAATTGCCATCAAATACGTTAATAATCTGAGTAAGGTAATGACCATAATTGAAAAAGAAAACCTACTTAATTCTTCAGAAACCGTAATCATTTGAAATGTAAGAAATAAGAAGTATGTCGAACCAATTTCGTAGAACTTCCTTTGACGTAGCTGCAGAAATCCTTTGCCCAAATCCCTAAGCCAAACGGCAGAAAAAAATAGGAAAAACATTTCCAGTTTCTAGGTGCCCAGCTCATTAGTGGGAAATCTCATTAGAAACCAATGAACGCGCAGGGAAAACAAACACGTAAATATGTATTGAAGGGGGAGTGAAAAACCCTGTAATGAGAGCTTCGAAGGCCTGTAAATCGTTAACGGTTTGATATTTTTTCCATCATTTTCACTTTCACATCTCCATGGCGCATGGGCCACAAAGTGAAAAATTAATTTTCCCCAACCATTTTCATACCCCTCCTATACACACACACACACATAGACCATCTATTTTCCGACCAACCGAAAAACGAAAAGCCAACAAAAACTATTTCCATCTCTGTCGGGCACTAAAACTTTTTTCTATCAAATAATATTTTGTACAATAAACTAAATGCGAGTGTGTGTGTGAGCGTTCCACCCTCTGGGCCTATGTGTGTGTGTGTGTCTATGTGTGTGATAAAATAAAAATACGAAAAATATGAAAAAACGAGGAAAATTAATAATGAAACTCAAACACAGAGACAAGGACAAATGCTGTGCACATACATAAGCCAGAAAAACTACGTATGTGTGTGTGAGTGCAGAGAAAATATGGATGAGGGGTTATAATAATCATGTTTATAATAAGGCAAGTGTTTTCCTTGGTTCTAATGAGACCGAGAATATATGTAGTTCCTTATCATCTGTCTTATCGACATGATGAGCTTCTTGTAGAAGCAACCCCCTTAAGTATGCTGCAACTATTTCGCCAGAGAAATCTATCGTCCAGGAACTTTTCATCCAAAAAAAGAATACAAAAGAAGAAAAATTCCATAAATTCTAGCTTCTTCTTCTTAGTCAAACACCCACACAGGGAAACAGAGGGGGAGAAGTTTGCAATTTTATCAGAAATACACACACACACACACACACTGACAGCCAGGGGAAAACCACCACCCCACGCCTCTTTTTTGGCCCCCGAAGCGAGTTTATGAAACCATCAAATTATTTTCTTTTCCATTTCTGACACTCAAAAGAAACGGCAAACATACAGAAGGAGGGATGAAAGTGGGTGGTGGGGTGATGGGGGGTATTTTCACGGAGAAAGCAAGAAATGAAGGAAAAAAGGGAGAAAAAATTATTATTTTCCAGTTACAGTCGGCTTGGTCTCCATGGTGGCCCTGGCACATCCTTTACATTATTTTCCTGCTGCTGCTCAAAGTTTTTGCCATGTGGCCCCCCTTTTGCCACCGCCTCTGCCCCCTTAACCCATAATGCCTGCGGGTTACATTTTGCCCAGTTTGTGTGTGTTTCTGTGTGTGTGTGCAGCTACTTCGTCTTATTCGAGTACGAAATTTTTATGAGAAAACGCCTGCTTGTGTGTGTGTGTGTGAGTTACTGGGCTGTATATCAAAATATTTAAAAGCAAATATAATATTGGGTGAGTTGTGGGTGGTTCTCAGGGTGCTTGATGGGTGTGTGTGTGTGTTTGCCTAGCTGGAATTCGGGCAAAAGGCGTAATAGAAAAACACTTAAGCCAACCCCCATCTTCTAGGCCCTGCGAAATATCAAAATGTAAAAAAAATCATTCATATATATATACAGATGTATACAAGTATATACTTATATTAATAATGAGCCGCAGCGCCAGCGCAAAGAGAAAATGAGGAAAAAAAAAGAAAAATATTCGCTTTTCGAGTGTGTGTCTGTGTGGAATTTATTGATTTTCAGCGAATAAATATTGCCGGAGGAGCACATGGCAAGTGACTTAATATCAGTCGGCTGGATATTTACAATAGACACATGCAAAACGCATATCAATAGATATATGTGCATACTTATATCAATGGAAATTGATTTGGCCCGCTGACGTTGCTATATGGTATATACATACGTTATCGTTGAAATTTTTATATTTTTATTGTCAGTCGCTGTCGCATTAAAAATACTTAATCTCCGACGGCCCAGTTATTGCCCAGTCATAAAAAATGTGGGTGGTAAACTGGGGTCCGCATTTTAATCATGTCCACCTCCCATATCGAAAATTTTACTTTATCGCAATCCCGCAATCCCGAGCCGGGCATATTATTATTATTATTCGTCGTTTCTGCTTTTACGTTATTAGCACCCGTAAGGGGACCTCGTGGCGTATGCTCGATGTGCGATAAAACCCGTGAGCTAATGAGACTTTTTAATAAATTGTCCCATTCCGGCTGGCCTCGTTTTTAGTACAATTTTCATTATTAATAAAACTTTATGACATCTATATCAGGCATTGTGCATTTTTGTTTCATAAAAAAAAGTGAGAGAGCAGTGAACACCACATACACATACACCGTTTATTATTCCAATTAAATTTACCAACTTCGTCGGACATTGTCTGTGTGTTTTGTGTGTGAGTGAGTCATTGTATCCATCAAAAATTCACATCTATCTTTTCGGTTTTTCTGCTTTTCGAACCAAATATTATAATGTATATGATGGAAATAAAAGATACGTGGAGAGATATTTGAATTACGTGCTCACAGAAATTGGTTTGACAGTATAGCATACCTTTAAGAGAAAACTTTGAAGAAAGTAAAAGGTTTGCCTTAAGAAACACCTAAAGTAATTTAAATTCTAGTAAAATAAAGAATCATATTTTTCAGTTAACGTTAATTAGGAACGCCTAACAAGGAGTTTTAAGATCATTGTGATTTCCCTTGAGAAAGTTACCAACTTTTTCAACTTATCTTATAAATTTCTCAAAACTATATTAAAAATGGTTTTAAAAACCCATATATTCTAAATTTATTCCTGAAATCGCCCTATATTATACCCATCATATTTATTTACCTATGTTACTAAGGCTAAAAATCTTTAAAACGTTTAAAATATACTTTTTTTCAAATGGTTTTCATAAATATTTAGTCGTATAATACAAAAATGTGTAAATTTTGTAATAAAATAAGTACATACATACATGCATATGATTGGGAACATTTTTTTAGTGAAAGGATTTTTATTGGTAGTTTAGGAGAAGAATAAAAAATGCAGTCAGTTAATTTGCATAGTTCTATGTAATGTTTTTTCCGATTTGCTATTCATTGTGATAGTAATTTAGATCTGCAAAATAACGTTGACTGCATATAAATGGGGGTTTTAAAGCATTCGAAAGCATTTAGCAAACACATTTTTATAAATTCGCCAATTTGAATTAATTTTAATTTCCTTTTTGTAAAGCCAATCGTAATTTCATTTCTTGTTTTTAGTGGCCAATGCAAGCGGGCGTAGTTCAATAATCCGGTTATGTATATGGATTAATGTGGGTTACAGTTTGCGTAGCTGGGACTCACAATGTCTCTGGCCAGAGAGAGCATCTTTAATCCTAAGTGTAAACTTTTGCGAAAATAAACGCGCATCGAACGGAAACTCCTTGGATAAGGCATACTTTGGGCTAGTATCAAAATTTGTAATAATTTATTACTTAAGTAGTTTGTTAACGTTTAAAGCACTTTTTGGGTTTTTGATTAGCACAGCGTTTCTGGTTATAAAAATACAAAATAAGCTTGGTTATCCTTGTTTTAAATTTTGATGTGTTGCCACCACTTTTTTGATTGTTATTGGCTTACAAATTCTCTGGATTTGTCACTCATTTCAAACACTTTGAACACTGAAATCGGCAGATTAATATTTGCATTTGTTTGGCTTTCATTTGCTTCTCATGGATTTGATTTGATTTTGTTGCAGCTGGAAACTTACAGAACTTGTACAGGGCGTTACACTTATTTGATCATGCCGACAAGTCCAAAACGACGCTGTGGTAGCCACCCGCGGCTACTTCTGCACCACGTACGCGTTTTCTGTAGACTGATTCGGCTTTTCCGTTTTCCCAATTGCCAGCCTGCCGCCAAAGGATGCGGACACCCACACTCGGGCACTCGAAAGAGAGCGAGAGTCCGCGAGAGAAACCACCCCCAGAGCCACCCCCAACCTCCAGCGGGCAACGCTCTGTTGCTATTTTGTTTACTTCTCGCCGCGGGGGCGTTCTACGGACAAAAAGAGAGAGAAAACCACAGGAAGTTGCAAAGGAGGGGGTGGTGGTGCTAGGCAAAACATGTGCTAACCTTTTCCACTAACTATATTTTTGGCGCCCAACGTGGGGCACTTAAACTAAACATGTAATTCGACTCTTTTTTCGTCTTCTTAATTTTTAAAAATGTAATAATATAATTCTTGTTGTAAAAATAAAAAAAACCGCTGGTAATAGTAAGGGAAAGGCAGTATTGGAAGACTAAACAATATTTTGGCGCCCAACGTGGGGCCTTCTAAGGTCAAATACATTTGATTGCCTTACTTTTTCTATTTCTAAATTTTATTTTTGATATACAATCAAATTAAAACAAATCATACAGTATTATTTCACACCCATGCCATATTTATATGTATGCAACGCGCCCACTTGATGGATTCGCAGTAAAAGCACACATCTATCCAAGCACACTAATCCTACCCTCTGCTCACAGGACATGCGTATTAGATAAGTCAAAAAATAAATATTCCACTCAGAGCACCGCTCTCCGGACCATTTTTTTGTTGTTGTTGCTAAAACAGTTTATCAACACGACCAAGTCTCTGATAAAACAATCATCGTTTATGGTGCAACACGCTTCAACCGCCGCCCCCCAGCAGCATAATTGAGATATAGTCCAGTGACCAGACCAGTAACATCGAAACGGGGTGGTTAACAAATCGAGTCGAGTGGAATGGCCAGGAGGACAGTCAAAAGTGGTTGGAGTGGATTCGAGTATAGAGTGGTGTGGACATGTTCTGTAACCGCATGATTAGAAATCGAGTAAAGTCGATGACAAAGCAGCGGGAGGAGCTGAATCCTTACTTGGGGAGGGAAATCAAGGGCTGGGGGTGGAGTGCCAAACTAGGTTAAACTCAAACCCTTCCATTCAAGTTTTTGCTTAATGATTTTTGAGCTAGTTTATGACAAACAATATCAATGCAAAGGCGTAACCTGCGTGCGACCCGTTTAACTGCCATTCCCGCTGTTTGGCCTCAGTGAACCCTCCTTAAACGGCTGTTCCCCTCCGAAAATGGAGCACGCAGCGGAAATGAGTGGGCATAGTTTTCGCATTTTCCTTTAAATTACAAAACAAAAATAAAAACAATAAAGGGAGTTTCGGGAAAACCAGTCGACTCATTAAGTACCCTTTGAAAACTTTCTGGGAGAATCGTGGTCTAATTAACTAGGCATATTAAAATTTATATTATCATATACAGATTATATTTAATTATTTCAGCAACTGATAGCATTTATAAAATTATTTAAATATAAGTATTGCGTAGTTAAAAATAATAAAATATAACTTAAAACCATTAATAAAACCTCTTACTTTGTAAAGAAACCGCTTTAACTGAATCCTATTGTACTAATGCCGTTTTGTATAGGGTATGCATTACAAGAAAAGTCGAATGAGAAATCAAATATGCGCTTAGCACGATATATTCAAATGGTTTACGTTTTCTGCCGCCCACGAGGACAGCGGATTTTTATTCGATTTTTTATATGCCACATAAACCAGGACTGTGCGTCAGTACGCGACTTTACAATAAAAATCCCAATCCCCTTCGCCGAGTGGATTTATTTATCACCCTTGCTGCTGCTGGAAGTTTTGCGCTGACGGTGCTGCAGCAGCTCCTGATATTGTTCAATGGATCCATCCTCATGCTTGGAAGTGAACGAGACCGGCTTTTCAACCTTGGCCTGCTCATCAGTGGCGACGACTTTGCTGCGCTTCGACTTCTTGAGTTTGTCGCGTACGCGTTTTCCCAGCCGTGACTCTGCCAGCACCTGGCTGACCTTGGAGCTTTTCATGTAACGTGTGCGCCAGGACTAAAAATAAGAGGCTTAGAGGTGACTAACAAAATTATTGCTTACATTGACATATCAAAATACCTCGGAGTTGGGCTCCTCTAATTTGTCTCGCTCATCCTCGCTTGTGTCCAGAGAAATAACATCGTTGTCCATTTCCTCAGGATCGGCCAGCTTTTCCTTTTTCTCGTTTTTAATGCTCACTGGCGGTGGCTCGTCTTCCTTGGTCATCTCTTCAATCATTTCCAGATCACCGCCTATTGAAATGACATCGTCGTTTTGATCTTCGTCGTCTATGGCAGCTGGTTCGGGTGCAGGGAGTTCCTTTGATTGGGCAGGAGGAATGTGATCAACTAAAGGTGCTTCTTCCGAGGGCTGCTCTTTTGTCGTTGTTATATCTGGCTCGTCAGACTTCTCCGCCTCATCTGGTTTAGATAGGATTTCAGAGTGGGCAGGCTGTTCCGGTACAGCTGGGACTTCTGCCCTTGCAGGTTCTTCTGGCTTGGATGGCTCTTCAGCCTTGGCTGGCTCTTCGGGTTCATCGCGCACTTCACCTTCCTCCGGCTCGCTTTCTACGACTGGAGCTGGTGGCTCCGTTGCAGCTGGTTCAATGATTTCCTTGGACTTCTGTTTTGTGCCCTCATCATCCGTGCTGTCGCTGATCAGCAATGTTTCCGGCTCTGTTTGTATGGGTATCACATCTGGTGAAGCAGAACGCGATTTGGAACGTGGCTGCTTTGGGGAATCCTTCTTTACAACCAAAGTTTCGGACGGTGGTAGAGGAGGAGCAGGGGCTGGAGCTGGCACTTCCTTTTCGGGTGACGTCTGTCGATAGTTCCTCTTGATCTTGATTTTCTTTCGGGGCGCCGACTGTTCTTTGCTGCTACTATCTGCATCTGCAGAGGGGATCAACGTACCCTCTTTGGCTGCTTTACTTTCATGAGATTTGCGGCTGCCCGACTCCTTGTTTTTGGAGCTACGCTTATCCTTTTCCTTTCGCTTTACTTTTTCTGCTGGTACCTCGTCATCATCATCCGATTTGACCTCTATCTTGGTGATTGGCTCCATGGCAAGTTGAGAGCGAATGGCTCTGGCGCGGGCTTGAAGCTCCAGCAATTCCAGCACGCTCATCTGACCGCCCGCTGTGGAAGAAAATATGAAACCTTAGTAACCTAAGTCGCTTTAAATCATAGGGACGCAGCTGTAGAAGGCAGTCGTCATAATGTGTTCGTTCGATCTTGTTTAGTTTTTATACGTTAATAAAGTTGATACTCACACTCCTTGTTTTCACTTCCATTGTTCGCTTTTTTGGCTCTCAGCTTTTTCTTGCCTGAAATTTAAATTATATGGAAACAGATTGCATTAAAAATTGTATATAAAGTATAGTTTAAATTAACTGCACGCCAGAATGCCGATCAACCAGCAAGTGGTGGAGCCGCAGTTAGACAGCCAGACTGCTGAGGATCAGGGGGAAGAGGAGGAGCAGCCGGAAGACGAGAACCGACTGGAGAAGTTTACGGTGAGGCTCAATGGACAACATGACCTGGAGCAGCGCTTGAAGGATTTCAAAGCGGCCTGCGAGGCTCATGAAAAGCATGCTAGGCGGCGAAAGCGGAGACGCTACTACCATCTGGGTCTGGTGGCCAAGCTGGTGACGGAAACCACCCACGACGAGCTTCGCCGGATGCTGGAAAATGGGACTTATACCTTCCACGTCGATACGGTGGCCAACAAGCCCGACGAATTGAAGGCCATTTTGGACACCATGAACATTGCCATTGCGGCGCACACTGAGGAAAGGGAACTTCGCTTAACCACCGGCTTGGCCCTGGAGATTAATGGCGAGTGCTGCCGCGTTGGCAGGCTAAGGAACAACTGCACCGTGATGCTGGCACGAGGTGGAGTGGTCACTCTCACCACCGATGAAGCCTACCGCTACAAAGGCTACAAGGAGATCGTCTACGTGATAAATCTGCGGGCTTATCTCGCCTCTGTCCAGCTAGGCGACATTGTGCTGATCGGACGGGAAGTTAGGGGTCGGGTGGTGAAGACCCTCCGCGAAGCACTGACCGTGATGATCATTGATGCTGGACTGGTGGCCTCCTACGACTTTATAGAGCTTCCCAGACAGTGCCACAGTCTGGATGCCGAAGTGTATCCCGATCTGTATATGAAAGACCTGGAAATGGCCGCGTCCATGAACGCCAACTATGTGGTTCTGCCCAAAATTCGATGCAAGAGCTTTCTTCGAGCCATCCGGCAGACCCTTAACTCTGGCTTCAGCCTTAAGTTGATCGGAATGATCGACTTTGAGTATGTGCGAAGCAACATGCTGGATCTGCTGGGCATCATAAAGCTGGTAGACTACATTTGGATTCCGGACATGTTCAACGTTAACTGCTGTGTCTACAACTACATTATGGAGGACGTGCTGCCCATTTCGCAGTGCCAGAAGAAGCCGGTCATTGGCACGGTACCGCTGGAGCGTTGCAGCGATTTCAAGCGGTTTGAGTTGCATGAGTTCCTGTGGAAGGTCGACGCCATCCACATCCAGAAGAGTCCATGGTGCAACAAATATCCGCTGATTGTTAAGAAGCTGATGCCCATTAAGGACTATCGAGTTGGCGTGGTTCAAAACAAAATGGTCGTCAAGAATATCCTGACTTCATACCAGACGGTAGTAAATTTTATCATTCGGACAATCAGCTCTATTGAGTGCCAGGCCATATTTTTGTTCACCAAGTGCGAGACCGCCAGCGTGGCCCTTTCCCGCGTTGAGATCTACTGCCCGGTGTATATGATGATGCCGCTGGAGGACACAGACGATGCGGAGACCATTACCTGCAAGGTGGAGCTGGCTCGAGCGCTTCACTTGCGCCGAAATATGCACCCGGTTCTTTACACCAAGGAGCTCAACGAGTGCAACTACAGTCCCATTGAGTTTGGAGTGGATTTCATGCGGAAGAAGGGCTGCTTGGAGGTTGGCGACTTTGTGGTTACGTTGGAGGTGGGCAAGGAGGACACCGAGAACGTGGTCATCGGCATAGGGGAGGATGTATGTATCCTGCGGGCTTTCTACGTGTCACCACTCTTCGCCTGCGAGAAGTTCAAGTACGGTGGCTAACTTTCCGGCGTGCAGTTGTGCAGATAACACAGATTAACCAACTCTAAATTAAATGTAACTTATGCCAAAGCACTCACTTCTTCGGGATTCCTGGCCTCCAATGTCGCTGTCCGAGGAAATCTCCTCCAGAGAAATGTGTTCTGAAAGGGAGCTCTGTAGGGAGTGGTTCATAGAGTAATAGAGTGCTTAAACATACCCTCTTTGTGCTCCACGTCTGAATCTTCTGAGCTCTCGGTGTCTGTGGGACACCTGGTGCCTTCTATAATGGATTTCAGTCGCTTTGTGGACAAGCAGAGGAGCTCCTCCAGGCAGAGTTCCTCGATTTCGTCAAGGGGAGTTTTCTGTGTAATGTTCAGCATAAGTTACCTCCTTATAGGCACAATTCAACGCACCTTTAGAAACTCTGGTGCCAGGTTCATGATAGTTTTGGGTTTAAGGGTCCCAAAAATTTGTTTCACCAGCTCCAGACGGTCGTCTATATAGTGGGTCATCGGGTGCAACGTGCGGTCCTCCTCCATCTTCTCCTTCTTTATGCTAATGGGCTTGGGGATTTGGTCGCTCTTGCTGTGCTTTTTCGCCTTTGAGCCGCTCATTTTATCCAATTTGTTGTCAAAATGTAAACCAAACAATTTTTAGTCTTTCAGCCAGCGTTGCCACTTTGATTAATGGCCGGTGCACAGTGGGGCAAAGTTATGATGCTTTGCGACGTATGTTATACTAAATTTGAAAGAGGAAAATTAACGTTAAGTAAATGTCTCTGAACGCACCACTAAGAGTTAGACTTAACTTTTTCCAGTACAAGACTTGTTCGTAATTTAAAAATACTATTTGCTTTTTCTTTAGTTCACGAAGTTTATTAACAGAATTTATTTTACAAAATTGAAGTCGGTTACCCACTGTGCGCTGTAGCTTACAGTGTTATTATTGTTCGTACAGAACAGCTGATTCTGAAGCGGTGTAAGTTTGTGAAAATTCGTCGTGCGTTTTCCGTCTAAAATTAAGAAGGTAAGCACAATTATTAATTAGTTTTCCAACTGTGAGTTGTGAAAAGTGGTTGCAAGCAGAGTAGATAGCAGATTTCATGTGAATAGGTCAGTTTATATTGAAAAACTTGTGTTCTTATTTGAAGAGCTGTTACGCGCAGTGAGGTTACTTGGAGCAGATTATAATTTAAGGTTGTTAGGATTTGTAAAGTGAATTTAAGGCTATTATAAGCCAGGTAAATCAAAGCAAACATAAGCATGCCAAGTATAATGCTGCCGCGGAAAGCGTTACATCCCCTGTTAACTGCTGTTAAGTAACAGTGGCGGCAAATTTAGGGCATTTCATTCGCGCGGTATTTTCTGACAGCTCGGCCAGGGCACACTGAACATCTGTTCCGCGGAGAATGGCTGCGATTTCGCGTCGGTAAAAATAGCAAATACTCGTTGATGTGCTGCGGGAAGGCCTCCTCCCCGGCCCCACAGAGGCCCCGAAAGAAGTGAGCAAATGTGCGCGCCGCAAGATAGTAGCCGTCGAACGAACGATAGTGACGAAAGCACGTAAATTCAAGTACCAGCCGCCCCGCAATTACGATGAGTGTCTCGCGCGGCAGCGGCAACACAACACTGGACCTGCAGCCGCTCCTGGCGGACGGCGATGATGACAGGGAGCAGGAGGAGAAGATCGGCGGATCGGGGGGAGCATCGCTACTTAATGGATCCGGCTCCAAGGAGCTCAGTCACCGGGAGCGCGAGGAGTCTGCAGTGTTCGTCAAGAAGATCGGCAGCGCCTTGTTCTACGGCCTGTCCTCCTTCATGATCACGGTGGTGAACAAGACGGTGCTGACCTCTTACCACTTCCCCTCGTTCCTGTTCCTCAGTCTGGGCCAACTGACGGCCAGCATTGTGGTCCTGGGCGTGGGAAAGCGCCTGAAACTGGTCTCCTTTCCGCCCCTGCAAAGGAACACCTTTGCCAAGATATTCCCACTGCCACTGATTTTTCTGGGTAACATGATGTTCGGCCTGGGCGGCACCAAAACCCTGAGTCTGCCCATGTTTGCGGCTCTGCGGCGCTTCTCCATCCTGATGACCATGCTGCTGGAGCTCAAGATCCTGGGACTGAGACCTTCGAATGCGGTCCAGGTCAGCGTGTACGCTATGATCGGTGGAGCCCTGCTGGCCGCCTCAGATGATCTGTCCTTCAACATGCGGGGCTACATCTATGTGATGATCACCAACGCCTTGACCGCCTCGAATGGAGTGTATGTGAAGAAAAAACTGGACACCTCGGAGATCGGAAAGTACGGCCTGATGTACTACAATTCGCTGTTCATGTTCCTGCCCGCCCTGGCCCTCAACTATGCTACTGGGGATCTGGAGCAGGCGCTGAGCTTTGGCCAGTGGAACGACTCAGTGTTTGTGCTGCAGTTCCTGCTTAGCTGCGTCATGGGATTCATATTGTCCTACAGCACAATCTTGTGCACGCAGTTCAACTCGGCACTGACCACCACCATTGTGGGCTGCCTGAAGAACATCTGCGTGACATACCTGGGCATGTTCATTGGCGGCGACTACGTCTTCTCGTGGCTCAATTGCATCGGGATCAACATCAGCGTGCTGGCTAGTCTGCTGTACACGTACGTCACTTTTCGGCGGAAACGGGCGCCCGACAAGCAGGTCCACTTGCCCACCACCCGCGGCGAGAATGTCTAGCTTCGTCTTAGCTCAAACTCAAGCCAAAGCCATACGATATGTTTAGCGTATTCCGTACTTCGTTCTGCGATCTGCGACTTCGTATTCGATTTTCCTATAGCCACACAGCGCATCGTCTCTGTACATATATCTAGCTATGTATCTAAAAGAGTGTAATTTAGCAATTATGTAATTTTAATCACTTTGTACATTTGTCCGTATGCAACTGTTTCCTGCATCGAAAGTGTCATAAGTTATAGAAATACACAGACATCCAGCCCCTCCGCCGCATTGGGTGTGCCAGATAACCGATTGTTTTCTATCTTCTGTTCCATTTCGGGTCGTTAGCGATAAGATTGCCTCCACCAGCTCTCCACAACTCTCCCTTTGCTAATTAAGAAAACATTATTGCCCTCACATGTACTGCTCTAATTAGTTGTTGGAGTTAAAGGTATAATATATAGAACCACGTTGTGGTACTTTTCAATTACCTTTGCTTAATCGGGTGTTTATCTGTTCTGGGTAAACACTCGCTGAAACTTTGAGAATTCTACAAAACAAAGTACTGCAGTGCTGGACAAACCAGCAGCGTCATCACCTCGGCGGAATACGTTTCAATGTGTTGACCGATTACGGGTTACTCTGTAGACTAGTTCGGGTTTTTCATGTTGTTCTAGGAAAAAGAAACATTATCAGGCCAGGGAGCGTTTGCGAGTGGTAATAATAAAACTAAGATTAGCGCGCCTTCAGTTTTTGGGCATAGACATTGTGATTTTCCGTTTGCTTTTGTAGATTGCCTAATAATAGACTTCTGCTTAGAGTAACGAATTGGATTGTTAAAGAATTTTTTGCTTTATTTAGGAGTAAATAAATGTGCGCAGCTGAAACTCTCCTGTTTGCTGTCTCCTAACTAATTATATGCTTTAAGATGGATATCTGTTTCTAAGAATTAGTTAACCCAAGCGACAAAGTGCTTATAATACATTCTTAATTGTCTAAAACTACAGACTGTAAATTTTGTTTACTTTTAAATTGTTTTTATCTGCACTTAACTTTTTAAATACACAGCATTGTCACTATAAGTAGTGACTACCCATTTATTCAAAAAACAATGACGACATTGAAATTGAGCATAAAATCCGAGATGAGGTGCCAGTGCCCCCTGCAGCCATTTGTTTAGGTTTTATTTTGAGACCCCGCGATATTGATAGGTGGCGAATGAGGGATTCGGAGTGGAGACAGGTAATGAGGAAGCCGAAACAGGTTTTCTCGGATTAAACCGTTGGGCGGTCCGAGTGCGGTGAGGTAAATTGTTAGTCAGCATCAGCCCTGTCCGCGTACCCACATTATGGACAAATTGTTTGCTCATATTCGCTGCTATTGAAAGTGGGCACGTACGCTCGGCCCGAGCGACAAGCTTTAACCGAAGACAGGTAGTCAGGGTCATGTTTATGTGCGCTGCTGGTAATGATGATGCCGACGATCGTGCTGATAAGGTCACCGGGTGTACCTCCCCATGTCTTCTCTTTGAATCCACAGATCATCATGTTGCAACGCTGCTGGCGTTTCCCAAAGCCGCTGGCCCTGCGACGAAGTCTTACTTTGGGCTCGGTAAATAGCCAAGCGGTAGCCACAGAATCGCCTGAGGCAGAACCCCAAGATGCCTTTGAGCGTCAGTATCTTAAGGATCGCATCGAGATATCGCCTTTCCAGCGGCTGATCCTGGGAGCAGGGTCCTCCATTGCTGCCCTACTAGATCCAAGACGGTAGGATATATATTCTTTGCACATTTGTATAATTAATTAAATCTTATAACCATTTATTTCCCTTCATAGTCACGACATGATCGCCTGTTTGGGCGAGACCACTGGAGAGGATGCCCTTTGGAGTATTTTGGACACCATGCAGGCCAGCGAGGAGGGTCAGCGCATCATGGCCGACAAACCCCGCATCCACACCAGCACTATCGACTTCAAATACCTGGAAACTCTGCCACCAGATACGTTTGGAGCCTCTTACGTCAAGTTCTTGAAAGATAATGTAAGTAGAGCGGGTGATAAAAAATGTGGAACAAGTTAGTAAACACAACACGTGCAGAAATCTGGTTCAGAGATATTCTATAGATAAGTGGAATAGGAAACCAACATCAAGATACCTGTGCCAAATGCCACAAAAAAATAATTTAAAAGTTAAGATCAAACTTGTTAGCCCGACTTCACAATATCAGCTACGCTTAAAAATCTATAAAGATAAATTTTTTTATTTTTTAGGGGGATCACCATTTACTTATTTGAAATTAACCGAATTATATTAAGTAATTTGTATTTTTTCTTAAAGTTTAATAGAAAATACAGACGCATTTGATTTGATTGAATTGATTTCATCAATTGACTTGACACTAATATCGGTAACCAACTTTCAGCAAGTCACGCCCGACAGTCGCATGGCCGTGAGGTTTTTGGAGGACCCCAAGCTGGCCTACTTGATGACGAGGTACAGGGAATGCCACGACCTGATCCACACTGTGCTGGACATGCCCACCAACATGCTCGGCGAGGTGGCCGTCAAGTGGGTGGAGGCTCTGAACACGGGACTGCCCATGTGTTACGGAGGCGCGGTGTTCGGAGCAGTTCGCCTACGTCCCAAGTGAGTTCAGTGAACTGCGGTGCCCAATTATGCCTCCATTCACGCATTTGTTTATTTGTTCGTCTTCTTAGGCAGAGGCGTGCGTACTTGAAGAGCTATTTGCCCTGGGCCCTGGAGAATGGCCAGCGGACCAAGCCCTTGATGCCCGTCTACTGGGAAAAGCGCTGGGAGCAGAACATCCACGAACTACGCTCCGAATTGGGCATTACCGTGTTGAAAAAAGCTTGATGAGGCGCTTAATTTTGAAATTCTGTTTTGAATGTGGAACTTATCGATTACAGCTATCGAGTCAAGTGATCGTAGTTTATCTAGGCACTATCTGGCAACTCTGGTTGAGAATTTGGAAAATAAGTAGTGTTTTTTACTAATATTTACATAAATAAGAATTGAAAAAAAAATTAGAAAATGTAAATAGATAAAAAATATCAAATTAAATTCAAGACCATTGAAAATTCTTTTAAAGCACTAGTGGGAACATCCTGTATTCGTAAATGATCGCATCAAAATGTAAACCCATCTGGCAACCATAGACGCTCTGTTTGCTTTTGCTGATGTGTTGTGTATTGTTTTTCGGTCCACTCTTGTTTAATGGCTAATTATCTGTAATTCCCGCAACATGACTGAGAAATTTAATGGATTTAGCCACGACGAGATCCTCAAGATAACGGGCGTGAAGGAGGGCAGCGTGGGCAAGCGGCCTATGAATCTGGAAGCAGGTTAGATCACCATGAATGAACCACAAAGCGTGTAAACAATTATCTGTTTATAATAAAAAACCGTTCCATGTGTGCGTGAGCAGCGAAACAGGCGCTCCGGAATCAACCCGGCATTCGGCGGATGCCCGATAAGATCTTCCGGCAAGGAGATCAAATACGGAAGCAGCAGCAGCAGCAACAACCACAGAAGCCCATCCAAAAACCGGATGTGGCGAAAAAGGCCAAATCGGGAACGGCGACTCCCACGGAGAAGGCGCCAACTCCCACGGCAGAAGATGACGCAGCCCATGGATCGCTGAACCTCGAGCGCGCTCTTTCCGATTCATTAATGGAGGCACTCTACCATGGGCATGCTACAGCTAGAGATAACAAACCCACTGCCACGTATGCGGATGCTGAGGCAACGTCCACCGACGACAGTTCGATATTGAAGATCAGCGGCGGTGAAGGCCAGACCAGCAGCTCCATAGATGATGCCAGCATCCTTCCGAGCAGCAAGGAGTCCACATCGCGGGAGCGCCTCAACACTGACTCACCCTTTAAGGGCATCTCGCTGAAGGACTTCGAGCAGCATCGTCGCATGATCGAGGAGCAGAACAAGCAGAAGAAACAAATGCTCTACCAAGCCATCGAGCAGCACACCCAGAAAACTGCGGCAGAGTCACGGAAGATCGAGGAGATCCGCCACGAGCTGTCCAAGCTGGAGAGCGATCTTGCCGTGGACGTGGCCCTGCTCAGAAAGCAGATCGACAATGCCTGCATACATTTCTCCAATGTAGAGTGAGTGGGGGAGCATAAAACCTGTATAAAGCCGTATTAATAACTATTATCTTTACAGAAAACAATACGTCAAAATAGAGGCTCAGTTCCTAAGGGCCAAAATAGAGCTGCACAATGCCTCTGAGAAGAAGGAGCTGCTCACCGAGCATCTTTGCACAGTAATTGCCCACAACGAGGATCGGAAGGCGCAGAAGCTCACGGAACTGATGCAGAAAGTCGGCCTGGCGCCAACCGATGAGCCCCCTTCTTCGCCAACCAATGTCAATTGAGCCTAATTAGTTTGTTAAATTCGAATTGTCAGCCTGCTTCAGCCTGTTTCCCTTAATTTGACCAGCGAGGTAACTTCCTTGCTCGCTAAAAATGAAACTTGTTCGGAAACTTGATATTATATTAATTATATTTTGCTACATTTTATGAAATTGTAAATTGAAACAGGGCTTCTATATGTTGAGTGCTCTCTAATATTAGTATGTAATTATTGTTCAGTGTAAGTGAAAAAGTGCAAATTGCAATAAAATATGTATATGTTATGTGTAAAATGAAAATTCATTTTTATATATATACAAAGGCGGTTAAAAAATTTGAAAAAGAAGGGCATTAAAAGTCGACCTGTAACTCTTATGTTATTGTTTTGTTTTGACTATGTGGCAACGCCGCAAGTTTGCCCAACAGCTGATCGTTTTTTGAGTTGAACAAACGTGCGCAAAAGCTAAACAAAATTAGCAGAAAATAAACATTTCTCAGCGGAATTAAATAAAAAACAATCCAATAATGGCTGGACGTGGAAGGGGTGGGAAGACAGGCACCCTTACAGCCGAGCAAATGGCCATGCTGGGCTGCACCAAGGATTTGCCGGTGCAGACAGCGCCGCCTCCCACATTTCCGCCTGTTTTAAACAGGCCCACTACCCTAGAGGTGGTTTTAAATATATATATAACTTAACTTACAAAAAGGTATAATTAATATAATATTCCCGTGATAGACAACTGCCACACAAAATTACCAGCTGCTGTGGAAGGAGGATTTCCTGAACCGTATGCGAGATTCCCCTTATTACATTGTATCTGCCAGCCAGGAGTCTCAAAAACTGGAACACAAGGACTGGCGGGAGGTGACAAGCCTAGCTACATATGTACTTTAAATGTACCACCCCTAATCCTGTTTCTTACAAACCCAGAAAGCCATGACTCGCTTGAAGCTCAAGACCCAGCCAGAATTCAATTACAAAGCCATGCCCCAGGAGCTAAACATCTCCAGTCGAAAGCGACGTGCTGCAGATGCACGTCCCAAGCTGCTAGCCAAGAAGACCAACATCGAGGACAGACTTAAGGTGCTGGAGCAGAAGGAACTAAAGTCTGGGGGCGGTGAACAGGACGAGGTTAAGCAGGAATCCGACTCGGAGCAGGAAGAAGACCAGGATGATCCGGAAGCGGCGATGGATGATGAGATGGACGAGGACAACGACTACGGCGCCACATACTTTGACAACGGTGAGGCGTTCAACGATGAGGACGACAACTTGGATGATGGTCCCGTGTACTGATACTAATAAAACCAGCGAACTGAATTCTTTTGGATCTGTGATTTACTATGTCGCCACTTTAAGCTTATTTAACACAAATTTTGGATTAATATACACGTAGGGGGTGACTGGCTTAGTCCAGGCTCTTGGGCACGTAGTAGTTGAAGTGGATCACACCAGAAGATTTCACCTGCAATGGGGAACTCGGTTAGGAGGAGGTTCGAATAGGAAGAGAGTGGCTGGAACTCACGAATCCAATGGTACCGGCCAGGACGAGGATGCCAGTGATGAGCGCGGCATTGTACTTGGCGTTCCTCTGGCTGTGATGCTCCTTCCAGTCACCAGCGGGCACGGGCAGGTCGTTCATGGTGGAGTGGGGACCATGTCCAACGTGGTAAGCGGCACGCGACAAGGCGCCAGCTGAAATTACAGGAAAAGACTATTTAATAAGGTCCTTTAATAAATGGGGGAACCCCTCTCTTGGGATATGATCTCATCCTAGTACCACACTATTATGAAGATACATATATTCAGCTAAAAATTATGAAAAACGTAGTTTGGAACTTGTAATAAAGGATGTTTATGGTTATTATAAGGATTGGTGGGTAAACCATACATATCCACTTCCTTGAAATCCCTTCTCTAGCTTCCCACATTATGTAATTTTTAAGGTTAGCAGTTCCACTGAAAATAGTTGATGCACCGCTCAAACTCACCGTTCTTGAGCAGAAGCCCCTGCTTGACAATGTGCTTAACCAACATGATTGCTCGAGAGATACTGGAAATAGGTAAAATATGGTTTATTTTTACGCCAAAGAATTTTTCGCATAAAAACTCACCCGTAAGTTTTCTTGTGTCGAACAGTGTGACCGTGCTATTGTTAAGCGAAAATACCCACCCTAAAATCAGAGATGGGCTCACGAGCCTTAAAATCACTCACGCACTCAGCTTTTTTAAATTAAATTAATTAAAAATAAAGTAAGTGAATATTAATATAGTAAAACGTTTTTTTGTTATATTTTATAATATTGAAATTAATATTTCCGTTAAAAATAAGTAGTATGAAATGTTATTAAATATCTTTCCGTTACTCGTCACCCGCTCCTCTCTAACCGATAGCCTCTTAACGCCTCTGTTATCAGCTCTGTAAAATCAGCTGTTGATGCGGAGGCGTTCTCCTTTTGCTAATTGCAAGTGCAAACAATTGACCAGTTGTTGATTCGCAGCAGGACTTTTTTTTCGTGACCAGTGCCCCGCAAGACATTCCCAGCCATGCTGTCCATCGGCGCCATGGCCAACATCAAGCACACGCTGCAGAAGGAGCTCTTCCTGGCCGCCGGCGAGCGCCTCCTTTCCGTGGTGACGGTGGTCAAGAAAAAGGACAAGAAGCCCTGCTACCTGTGCGTGGTCACTACGGCGCCACCAGTGCCCGTAATCACACTGTGCCTCATCAAGCAGTCGGAGCAGCGCGAGGGAGAGTACAAGCGTAAGAGGAGCTGGCAGCTGGACGAGATTAAGTGGGTGGACGGCCGGAACGAGCAGTTCGAGACGCACGAGTTCGATCTGCAGTTGGAGAAGCTGTACAAGTGGTACGCTCTCAATCCGCACGAGCGCCAGAACTTCCTGGCCGTGCTCAACCGCCAGATCCAGAAGAGTGTGCGTGGCCAGAGGGCGGAGTTCCGGAATGTGCCTGCCGCCTGGCTGGCGGAGAAGTCACCTGAGAAGGTGGCTCTGGGCAGGGCGACGCAGAAGACGCAGCACACCGACGATGAGGAGGACGAGGAAGAGGAGGCCCAAGAGTTCACCGCCCTGACGGACAAGGAAGCCAATGAGCTGGGCAAACTCTTCTCCGAGTGCGACTTTGCCATCAAGGATGCGGAGCAATTCATAGAGCAGTTGTCCCGGGAGCTGCACGATCTGGATGGGGTGACTAAATAGGCACTTCAAAAGCAGTACTCATAAGCATTACTCATAATTTCTTATCTCGCAGGCCAATATGCAAAGTGTTCTGGCTTCGGAGCAGAAGGTTCTGAAAATGATGGAGCACATCGACAACGCCATCTCCGAGGCGGACAAATTCGAGAACCGCCTGGACAGTTATGAGGATATCCTGGGACACGTAAAGGAGACCATGGAGAAGATTGGCGGCAAGAATGCCATGATCGAGATCGCCAACAACAACAATATCAAGCTGATGAAGGAGCTAAACAAAGTTATAGTGC